CAAGTTGACAGTCACATTCACGCTCTCAGTTCATTTCTTTCGTCTATCATTCTTCCGTTCTCAATTACACAGGACATCAGGCAAGTTATGGGGATAATCTTTATTTGTCTCACACCTTCTATGGGGCAATAAACAATGCAGGGTGGAAGTGAGGCACGACAAGCTCGGTGTCTGCCTGATTGTAAACAACCTGGCGGCTGGCGCTTATTTCAGGGTTCTTATTGACAAAACCACTCAACTCTTGGTGGCTCTTAATGGAGGGTCAAATGTAACAAATTTTCACTGAGTGGCTCTTAATTGAGGGTGGCGCTTATTTGCGGGTTTTTACGGTAGTAACACATGGTTTAGTGAACTCTGACACCATATATTACCATAAAATTTTAAATCTGAAGCCATAATATACCATTTCACAATCAAGTATCATATAAAATGCCATAAATTACCATATTCAATCCAAGTGTAACAAATTTTACCATAAAAAGCCATAATGTCCATAATAGCTGATACCATAATAAACCATAAATCCATACCAACAGCAATATGGCCCAATCCATAAAAAGCCATGTGTGATTTTTTAGTGATGACTAGAAAAATACCTTTCGTGTATTTCATAAAAGTAGTATAATACATAAAGGACATCATAATAGATATAATGCATACAAGAAGTTGTAAGAATATTCCATAATCTAAAGTTCGGGAGATGTAAAACCAAAAGAGACAATGTGCAAAAATGGCTATGGTATTTTAAGGTATCAGGCAAAAATGCCTTCTATTTTCACAAGGTTTTTTATGGTGTCGGTAGGATAACACAAAATATATATTGGCTAAAAGAGGGTTAATACATTGTGAGAGGTCGCATTTTACGTGAACAAGAACATGCACTAAGAAGGAAAAGCAAGCTAAAGTCAAAACGGGGTGCATCATGGACATGACACAACACACGCTGCGACAACTGAGTGATTAGCGACATAATTTTGGGACGCAATTGAACTTCAAGTACTTCTATGCGGAACTTGCTGCGCGACGATGCTGACATTAAGTGTGTGTTGACCGAAGTTTGAAGTCACGCACTGAACTGGCGCGTTACCTTAGCAACTTTTTTCTTTCGTGCCCCGCGCGTCAATCTAGTAAAATTTTTATTATATCGGACGTTACTGTAAATACGCAACTTGTATGTACTGGTTTTGAATATATCAATGTCGTTTACGCAGTGCACTGCTTTTCCAATTACGGGGGGGGGGGGGGGGGGG